GAAAAAGACAAGTATCAAATGATTTCACTCATATGTGGAGCATAAGAACAAAGAAAAAAACTGAAGTTACAAAACAGCAGCAGGATCATAGAACCCAAGAATGGACTAACAGTTACCAAAGGGAAAGGGACTGGGGAGGACGGGTGGGAAGGGAGGGATAAGGGGAGAAAGGGGGCATCACGATTAGCACACATAATGTAGGGGGTGGGGGGCACGGGGAGGGCTGTACAACATAGAGAAGACAAGTAGTGATTCTATAGCATCTTTCTACTCTGTTGGACAGTGACTCTAATGGGGTATGTGGTGGGGACTTGATGATGGAGGGAGTCTAGCAACCATAATGTCGCTCATGTAATTGTAGATTAATGATACCAAAATAAAAAAAAAATAAAATAAATTATAGAAGCCACACAGAAAAGGAGACAGCAGAATTTACCTAGAGTGTGTTGGGGGAGGGCGGAAAGGGATGCTGTTCTTTTGTTTCATAAAACACCATTATGGACTCTTTGTGGATAGAAGCCTAAGCCGAGTGCATAGTCCAAAATGAGATAGAGTCAAAGGGGGTCTAGTTGCCTATACAGCTAAGTAGAAAAGAGGTCTTTCTAGGAATAAAGAGATTGTTTTTCTGCATGATTTTTTGCTTCCTCTGAACAGAGCCCCACCTCAGAAACAGGAGATAGAAAGGGAATGCAAGGGAGCCTAGAGTGTTAGAAAACGAACTGTAATTCTAAAAGCTAACTTTTAATGTGTGTTTACTATGTTCTTCCAGGAACTGGGCTAAGTGCCTTTCCTCATTATCTCATGTAAGCTTCCCAACAGTCTTATGAAATAGGAACGATCAGTGTTCTCATTTTACAGATCTTAAAACTGTGGTTTGGCGATATTAAATGACTTACCGAAAGTCTTACAGCTCCTAAGTGGCAGAGTTAGCATTCCTATTTGTTACCCCCGCTGTCGGGTACGTAAGTGCCACTCACCGAGCTCGCACGGCGGCTGCGGGAAATGGAGCACCGGGCAGGCTTTGCTAGTGGGGACCAGGGAGAAAGAACCAGGCCAGGCAGGGCCAGTTTTAGGGGACGAAGCCTTGGCTGGAAGAGACGAGTACAGCTGCAGCCGGAGACAGATGGGGCTGCGGCGCAGGAGACGGATGGTGCCAAGCATGGCTAGCAGCAAGAAGGAATAAAAGACTACCCCCCCAGACCTTCTGTGCCACTGACCCCAGGCCTCCGAGCGCAGCAATGGTGGACAGCTCCTCGCCTCGCCCAGCCTGCGCCCCTGGGGGTGGCTCATAGATCACTTACCTTTTATTGTTATAAGGCATGTTTTCCCAAATTTCTGGGGGCACATAATACGGTGTTCCCACGTATGTACAAGCAAATGCCATGGGACTAAAACCAAAAAGAGGCAAAGACAACTTACAGAGCATTCCTGAATAATGGACGTTTTGATTACTGTCACTGCTATAGAATAGACATACATACTGGGAGAGAAGACGGGCAGATCCAAAATCTCCTAGTTTTATTTTTCCATTTTGGGTAAGGAAGATATTCTGCATTAAAAAAAAGAAGAGTTCAGATTATGTCTTCCATCATGCAAACATAAGGCGGACGTCTCCGGAGAAGCGTCTTTCACAGCCTGCAGATGACAGAGGCGCGGTAGGAACACTGACAGCTCAGTCACCAGTAGAACACACAAAGACAGGATACTTTCCTGACAGCTACACGGTCCCCTGCTTGGGAATTCACGATGACTGCTTAAAAATCTAACAGGTGAGCGTCAGACTGTATCAGCAGACCCTGACCAATGGCCAGGGACCCTCTGTCAGAATAATTCCACATGCCAGGCCCAGGCCTCAATCATTTTCCAGCTGGGAACATATGGCTTAGTAGTCAGTCACCAAGAGAACTTGGAACATGTTAACACTACTGTGAAAGAGATTTAATGACTTCTTCTCAGGTGGTACTTTATTTGGCTGGTGTAAGTGTTAGGTTGACAAATATATCTAAACTAAATAAAATGTCCCAAAAGGAAATAGAATAACAGAGAAAAGAGTGAATGAAATAGTTTTGGGTTTTTTTAGGTCCACTTACCTTGGACTTGATATCTCTGTGTAACACACGTTTCTTGTGAATGTGATTTACTCCAAGGCACATTTGTGTAAACCAGTTCAGTATCTATAAGTAAAAAGGATGCAGATGTGCAGGAATGCAGTCACGGGCTCGCAGGAACCCAAGACTCCAAAGAATCGTCTTTGGGCCTCAGCTGACCTGAGTTTTATGTACTGTGAAAGCAGAACTCCTAGAAATTTCATAGTCCAACTAAGACACACTGTGGCCTGGAGACATTCGGGAAACCTGTGAATCCCACATGTCATTATCTTACATATGAACGCCCACTATAGTTTTCTTGTATTTAACCAAATAAAAGTATTTCTTGAATACATATAGGAAGGTAGAAATGAATATGCTACAACTTTTTGCAGTACAACCATTACATCAGATTTTCATTTACTTTTTCTTAAAATTCAAATATTAACATTAAAAGATTTCATTTTATCATCAACAGTCCTTTGAGATCAGCTCATAACCCTCCAGTTAACAGTACTCAGAATCTCCGGATTCCAAGAGGCTCTATAATTAAATGTCAAGCTGATGTTTTCCCTGTTTTTGCTACGGAGAGTCATCCATTTGTGCCCAAGGCTGACCTCCTATGGAACCCATATTTTTAACAGCACAACCTCTAAATGAAAAATATCTATGCCAATATGCTTTCATAATATGTTATTATACCCTAACTCAAATGCAGTCACATTAAAGTTGTTTACTTAAATATTTCCCTTAGTCAATTTGTTCCATGATATTTAGCATGCAATTTTCCACTAAAAGTCAGTAAGCACTAGACTTAAGGGAACACGCTGAACTTCAGAAGGAAAAAAGATTGGGACTAGGTACTCCCAAGACACAGAAATGCAGGTTCCATTCCTCTGGTGATTTGGTAACACACAGTAAATCCATCTGCCTCCTAAAATGTGGCCACAACAACACTCAAAACTGAAAATATCTAGGACAGAATATGGGGAGAAATACAATTCTGAGATTCTTCTAAACATGGAAGTTTTATTCCTTGATTCTTTGTAAACATGTCGATTTCATTTCCTATTCTAGCCATACCCTGATGGCACTAAGCAATTGCTCCGGTACAGAAACATCATTTCTAACTAGCGCATCAGGAAATCATAGACACCAGTGCTTTTAAATGACACAGATTTTAGAAGAAAAGTTGCTTCTAAACCTTGAGGGAAACTATGTAAGTCAGTCTCTTACCGTATCTTCAGGAAACAACTTTCCTTTCTGATGTTTAATCTTTTGCATTAGGTCCCCTCCATCACAATATTCCATCACAATATACAGATGTCCTTCAGCTAAAACAAGTGGAAGACGCTTTAGGAAGGCAGAGTGGCCATAATCATCCACAAATGCATGAATATGGGGAATTCACATTTACCTTCAAATGATTCTTTAAAAGCAACAATATTGGGGTGTCTCATTTTTGCCAGAAGAACAGCCTCCTTCCTAGAATTCTGTGTATAAGAGGAAGACTAGAAAAAGAGTTTAAGCATAAATATAATACCTCATTTTAAAATAGATGGCTTTCCAATAATTATAGCACAGTTTGTTAGACAGGCCAACACTACATGCAGTTTGATAGCACCGCACTTTGACCCAACTTAAGTTTTTAAATTCTAGAGAAAATATCTGGTGATTTTTCAATGATGGCTATATTTTGCATGCTTAAGATGACCCCTTATATCCTGACAAGTATAGAATGTAAACTAGCTCTAACATCAGCCGAAGCATAATGAGATTTGGAGAGCCAGTATGTCCTTATATAATCGTAGTATACCTAAGGTATATAGTATATATGCTTATATATATATATATGCACACACACACATATATATAAGGTATACATGTTTAATTTATAATAGTATATCCATAAAGAAAGACTAGGGAGTCCCTGTTTCACTGCCTTCATCACTTTACCAGTCCACTGGCCCAGATTAAAAAGAGTAGACTGATGTACTACCGCAGCAATAAAGGTAAAAGATGACTTGCAAAGTAAGTTTCCAAAACTGTTTATCCCCTAACTTACTCTAAGGATGAAATCCTGAATGGCTTACCTTACACCTAAGAAACTGCCTCTGATTAGCTACGAGCACGAAGGTTCATCAGCACCAAGAACTCATTAAAAACAACTCACAGGCCCACCCAAACCTGCTGCACCAGAAACCCCAGGGGAGGCTCAGCAGACGTTTCAAACAAGCCCTCGAGGCCACTCCGCTGCCCGCTGCAGAATCACCAAATGAGGCCAAGAGTGCAGTGGGAAAGAAGTACCCAGCACTTGGAGAACTGTATTAAAATGTATGTTTTTTAATTGATTAAAACATTATTAAACAGCCTCCAAGACAGATTCTCTGATGATTATGATACACGGGGGAGAAATCAGCAACTTCCTCACCTTCCAAGGGAACATCACCCATAAACTGACAGAATAGGTTTCCTCACACCAAAGCCTTCATTGTATTTCTACGTTCCTTTTTCATTAATATTGCACCTGAGTTGTTTTTGGCAAAGATTCCCTACACCCTTATGTATACAAAACTGGAAATTATTACAAATCATTCATGGTGAGATAAAAAGCAATCACCACCCAAACTCTATTTCTCTCCCTTCTTGGTAATGACAATATCCTAAAATTCACATGAAATATATCAAGAGCTTGTAATGCTAGTGAATAAACCCATTACATCTTCTGCAAGGAGCAATTCCATAATACATCTCAAGAACTTATTTTCCTATATAAATTACATGTGCATGTTCGACATGAGCTAATTGCTTTAGCAGTGACCTTGGGAAGCCTTATCTCCTTCATGGCAAACATCTGATCACTGCTTTCCTGCCGAACCAAGAGGGCTCTGCCGAAGGAGCCCTCCCCGATCACTCTCAGGACCGAGTACCCGTCCATGCTGGGGGCCGCACGCAGCCAGGCTCCACTCATGCAGTCACCGTGGGTTCTGCTAACCTGTACACAAAAACAGAAGCATATGAGAATTAAATTTATTTTCAAACGGCAGATTTAATTCAAAGTAGCTCTAATCATCGTAAGACAACAGCAACTCATTGCTTTTTTCATTCAACAGGTAGGCATTTAGCACCTGCACTGGGTTTTTTAATCCTGAACAAATCTCTCCTGGGCCCTGCCACTGCACATGCCCCAAAGCACACAGCACCACAGAACTCAGCCAACACAGGGTGGCAAGTCTTACAGAAAGAGTTGTGCCAGCATACAGCAGAAATGCCCAGAGGAGTCAGGAAGATGATAACCAAGCTGAACACTAACGGCTGAATGGAAGGTGGCTAGGAAAAGAGAAGGAAAAAGAGTGGTCAAGGCAGAGGGAACTGCACATTTACGGGCAAAAGAGATTGTGTTCAGTTCCAAGAATTGAAAAAGGACTGTAATAGGCCGGTAAGGCAGACAAGGCCTTGTCTGAAGGCTATTGTAAGCCAAGTTCAGGTGACTGGATTTTATCCTCCAGGCCATTAAAGGGCTGTCTCTGAAATGTTTTCACCAAGACAGCGTATCTGCATATTAGAAAAAAATCACTCTGGCTGCAGAGGAAACAGACCAGACAGGAGGGCGACAGGAGGGCCAGAGTGGGGCTCCAGCCAGCAACAGAAAAGGCAGGAAAACGATGGAACAGAGTAAGGTGGTGGCAATGGGAATGAAGAAAATGGGAAGGAATGTGTAGGAAGAAGTGGCACGGTTCTTGGTGACAGGTATGTGGGGGACAAGGAGGCAGAG